GGTGGTGTTGTTGGTGCTGCTGCTGCTGCAGCAGCAACCCCCGCCAATGCCAACACCTACATCATCACCAACACCTAGACGGGGGGCCCCACCAGGCACAGGGGGGGGGGCCCTGATGGTTGGGGGGCCCCTGAGGGGGGGGGGCCCCCATCAGGGGGGGCCCCCTCATCAGCATCAGAAAATATTGATATAGATGCACGGCCAACGCCGCTGTCGGGGGCCCCCCCTTGTCTATTGTACCCTCCTGACGAACCGCCACTCACAGGGGGGGGGCCCCCTGCGGAGGGGCCCCCGGGGGGCCCCCCACCACCCCCCTGTAGAGAAGCTGTTTGGGGGCCCCTAGCAGAAGCAGATGATCTTAGAAACAAACGGTGAAGGCGACGGCGACGAGAGGCTTGTAATCTGCATATAAAACCCTAAACCCTAAACCCTAAACCCTAAACCCTAAAAGGTAAACCCTAAACTCTAAACCCTAAAAACGTAAACCCTAGAAAGTGAAAAATAGAGAAAAAAAAAATAAGAGGGGCCCTGGATGTTGCCAGTAGCGCAGCACCTAAGCAGGTTGAGTCTCCATCTAGGGTTTAGGGTTTAGGGTTTAGGGTTTAGGGTTTAGGACCTGAGTAGCTTCACAAACATCATCACGCGGTTCCTCCCCCCAAAAGTCCCCAAACCAAAATCGCGTTTCAGCTGCGCAGCCGTCAGGCAAAGAAACTCCTCTCCTGCAGCAGCAGCAGCAGCAGCAGCAGCAGCAGCAACAGCAGCAACAGCAGCAGCAGCAACAGCAGCAGCAGCAGCAGCAACAGCAGCAGCACGAGGAGCGCGTCTATAAAGTCCCCCCAAACCCCCCTGCCCCACATCCCCATCTACACCAACCGTCGAGCCTAAATATGAGTGTTTAGGGTTTATTAGGGTTTATGAGGGTTTACTAGGGTTTATGAGGGTTTATGAGGGTTTATGAGGGTTAATGAGGGTTTATGAGGGTTTATGAGGGTTTATGAGGGTTTAGGGTTTACCCCCAATCTGCCTCTCCAGCAAACCCTCGATAAACCCCGCAGGCAGCTGCTGCGTCCGCAGCTCCGCCGAAGCCAAACGCAGCCAGCAGCACAGCTCGTACGGGCTCCAGTGAGCAGCTGCAGCAGCAGCAGCAGCAGCAGCAGCAGCAGCGGCAGGAGAAGAGGTAGGTGTAAGTAGCAGGGGGGGCAGTGGTAGCGCCAGTAACAACAGCAGCAGCAACAGCAGCAGCAGCAGCAACAGCAGCAACAGCAGCAGCAGCAGCAACAGCAGCAACAGCAGCAGCAGCAGCAGCATCAACAGCAGCAGCAACAGCAGCAGGAGAGAAAAGAGATACACTTTCACCATCAACGCTAAACCCTAAACCCTAAACCCTAAACCCTAAACCCTAACGGTGGAAACTAGGCAATGAGCAGCAGCTGCTGCTGCTGCTGCAGCAGCAACAGCAGCGTCTATTACACACACATCAGCAGCAGCAGCAGAACCACAACCACCATCTACTGCAGCAGCAGCAACTCCAGCAGCAGCAACAGCAGCAGCAGCAGCAGCAGCAGCAACAGCAGCAGCAGCAGCAGCAGCAGCAGCAATAGAGACAAAGGCCCACCTTCTGCCTCTTCAGGCCAAACCAAATCGTCGGCTTCTCTATCTGCTGATGACAGCACAAACCCTAAACCCTAAACCCTAAACACTAAACCCTAAACCCTAAACACTAAAACCTAAACCCTAAACCCTAAACCCTAAACCCTAAACCCTAAACCCTAAACCCTAAACCCTTAAAGGAGGGACCTCTGCGTTTATATATATAATAAGGCGCCGCCTTACTTTCATCCGACAACGGAGACACAGCAGCAGTAGCAGCAGCAGCAGCATCAGCAGCAGCAGCAGCAGCAGCAGGAGAATGGGTCCGGTCTGCATCTCTGTTCACTGAGTGGCTGCTCCTGTTGCTGCTGCTGCTGCTGCGGGCTTGGGGGGGCCCCTGGGGGCCCCCTTCTGTTATCTGTTTAGATTCCTGCATCTGCTCGCTCTCCTCTACCCGTTTGGGGCCCCCACCCCTTTTCTGCATATGAGGGGGGCCCCCCGCAGGGGCCCCGTCATCAGGGGCCCCCAGGGGGGCCCCCCCCGCTTGAGGGGCCCCCTGAGGGGCCCCCTGAGGGGCCCTCTCACGGGCGTCCTGCACGGGGGCCCCCTGCAGGGGGCCCCCCTGAACGTGAGGGGCCCCCTGTAGGGGGGCCCCCTGTAGGGGGGCCCCCTGTAGGGGGGCCCCCTG